TTGTGCTCTCTCACTCACTCACTCTCTCAAATAAATAAGTCAAATCATTTGTAAAAAAACATTTTCATTTTTCGGATATTTTGAGGCCATCCTTCCATGTCACCACACGAGTCTCTCCTGTCTTTTGAAATAGCAACCTACACTTTGAAACTTGCCTTTTAAAGTTTTCCAGTGTCAGTTCAACTTGATCAGTTTCCTTGGTTCCAACGCAGACGATATTCACATTTTCCATGTCTTTCAGCCTTGCACACCAGCTCTGCAGCTCCTTGGGAGTCATTTCTGAAAAAGAGGGTTTCTGAAGAGGCCACTTCCCCAGTGGGAGAGAGGGAAGGAGTTTTAAGGGAAGTGCTTGGAGATGCCAGGCTGGCGGCATCCTGGACCTGGAGCCATCAGTTGGAGGACCAGGGAGAGCAGGAGAGGCGTTTGAGGTGTATGTTTGCTCCTCTCAAGGAAACTGTCTGTGGGGAGAGAGGCCTGGGCTGTCACGAGCATGGGCGGAGCCTCAGGCAGACCTCCGCCTTCATCAGGAAGCAAAGAGGGCCTGTGGGAGAGAGAACTCGGAAGAGGAACGGGCCAAGAAAGAGCCTGAAACGCCAAAGAACATTTGTAGAAAAGAAGCCACTTAACTGTGCAGAATGTGGGAAAGCCTTCATTTACCATTCAGACTATATTCTACACCAGAGGATTCACACTGGAGAGAAACCCTACAAGTGTAATGATTGCGGGAAGGCGTTCAGCAACAGCTCGTATTTCATTCAGCACCACATCATTCACACGGGAGAGAAGCCCTACGTGTGCAGCGAATGCGGCAAGACCTTTACTCAGAGCTCATCGCTTACTGAGCATCAGAGGATCCACACTGGAGAGAAGCCATACAAATGCAAGGAATGTGGGAAGGCCTTCACCCAGAGCTCCTCCCTCATTAAACACCAGCGGTGCCATACTGGGGAGAAACCCTATAAATGCAACCAGTGCGGGAAGTTCTACTCACAGGTGTCCCACCTCACCCGCCACCAGAAAATCCACACGGGGGAGAAGCCCTACAAATGTGGTGAGTGTGGCAAGGCCTTCTGTCACACTTCCTCCTTGACTCAGCACCAGACAATCCACACCGGAGAGAAACCCTACAAATGTAACGAGTGTGGGAAAACCTTCAGCCATAGCTCATCCCTGTCCCAGCACCAGCGAGTTCACACTGGAGAGAAACCCTATGAGTGCTCTGAGTGTGGCAAAGCCTTCAGCCACAGTTCATCCCTGACTCAGCATCAGAGAATTCACACTGGTGAGAAGCCCTATGAGTGTAACGAGTGTGGGAAGGCTTATACACAGATTTCCCACCTTATGAGGCACCAGAGTGTTCACATGGGAGAAAAACCCTATATATGTAATGAGTGTGGAAAGGCTTTCAGTCACACCTCGTCCTTCACTCAACACCAGACGATTCACACTGGTGAGAAGCCCTACAAATGTAACGAATGTGGGAAAACCTTCAGCCAGAACTCTTCGCTTACCCGGCACCAGAGGATTCACACCGGGGAGAAGCCCTATGAGTGTAAAGTTTGTGGGAAGGCTTATACCCAGATTTCCCACCTCATCCAACACCAGAGGATTCACACTGGAGAGAAACCTTATGAGTGCCGTGAGTGTGGGAAAGCCTTCAGCCGGAGCACCCACCTTATCGAGCATCAGAAAATCCACACAGGCGAGAAACCCTATAAGTGCAAAGAGTGTGGGAAAACATTCAGTCACAACTCCTCCCTCACCCAACATCAAAGAATTCACACTGGTGAGAAACCCTACGCCTGCAAGGAATGCGGGAAAGCTTTCAACCAGAGCATCCACCTTATTCAGCATCAGAGGATCCATACGGGAGAGAAGCCCTATAAATGTAACAACTGTGGAAAAACCTATACCCAGATTTCGCACCTTATTCAACACCAGAAGGTACACACAGGCGGCAAACGCTATGTGTGTAAGGAATGTGGGGAGGATTTCAGCTGGAGTTCACACCTGACTGAACACCAGAGACTTCACACTGTGCACGACGCCTGCGTCTGCGATGATTTTGAGAAAGGCTTTGCATGGAGCACACAGCTTGCTGATATTCAGAGAACTCCTGCTGACCAGAAAGCCTGAGAAGGTAGCAGATGGGCGGTTCTGATGCTGGGTTCGGTGTAGCCTTCATCAGCACCAGTAACTTCCTCCCAGAGAGGAACCCTAACACTATATATTGAGAGAGTTGCTTCTCTATTTCCTACAAGGACCTGGTGCAGTTTATCACCAGCTGGGACAGCTTCTGATCGTTTTAGGAGCTCCCCTGCTAAAATCTCAGCTTCCCCCCTATTTTTCAGTCTTAACGGCATCCCCAGAGGGTGGTATAAATGGAACATAACATCATCTGATATCTTTAATAAGGTCTCTGTGAACTTTTTAAATTTATCGCTCATTCATTAAACTGGAGCTTGAAAATTCGAGGGAAAAAAAAAATGGGAAGATTAACCCTTCAGAGTACAAGTCTATGTAGCTGAACACCAACACTAGATTTTAGTATCCTTTAAAACTCTAAGCTACAAATTTCATGGCAAAATCCACAGTTGGCTTAAACACAGTATGTTCCACTATTTACAGCCATTTTTAAAGCCTATTTTTTGTGTCTTTCCCATGTCCAGGATTTACGCTTTATAAAGGAGTTTCCCTCTTAAGCATCATTTTCTGTTTTTATTTATGCCCAAAGGGAAGTTTTTCTTTCATCATATTTTCATCATAAAAACATAGTATTAAAAAAGGGAAGTGGTAGCGCCTGGGTGGCTCAGTCCGTTAAGTGTCTCACTCTTGACTTCGGCTCAGGTCTTGATCTCAGGGTCATGAGATTGAGCCCCAAGTCAGGCTCCACGCTGAGCGTGGAGCCTGCTTAAGATTCTCTCTCTCCTTCTGTTTCTCTCTCTCTCCCTCTCTAAAAAACCACCAAAAACCAAAAAACAAACAAAAAATAGTATTTATATTTTATTATAAAAATAATGCACATACTTTTATAACAGGAAATATTTTAAAGTAAAATAACTTATACTTATCATAAAGGATAATTTGGAAAGTGTCAGGAAGTATGGAATAAAATACCAATTCTCCATAACCACACAGCCCAGGGAGAGCCTGTCATTTTGTGTGTATTTCTTTCTGGTTTTGTTTTACTCTGTCTTCCATATCCATATTTTTAAGCCTAAAACAAAAGCAATATGGCCACCCTCAGAAGTCCTATTGTTTTGATTTTTTTGTATTCCCTTTCAAATATCATCTTAAAATAAATGTTATTTTATTTCACTGTGATCAGAGCGTAGAAACAATTTTGGCTTTCTCTGATTTGTCCCTATTATACCCTGAGCATTGTCTTTTGTAATCACATACACTTCATACTCATCATTATTCAGGCTAATAATATTTCTTTTTTTTTTTTTTAAAGATTTTATTTATTTATTTGAGAGAGAGAGAATGAGAGAGAGCACATGAGATGGGGGAGGGTCAGAGGGAGAAGCAGACTCCCCGCTGAGCAGGGAGCCCGATGCGGGACTCGATCCAGGGCCTCCAGGATCATGACCTGAGCCGAAGGCAGTCGCCTAACCAACTGAGTCACCCAGGCGCTCCAGGCTAATAATATTTCACTGGTGGGTGTAAAATAGTTTACAAATCCATTCCCCCACGTGGATTTTGTTCTAAGCCCCTGATTTTCACAGGTGGTTCACCAATTTTCCCAATTACGAATGTTAGAATGAGCATTTCCATACTTGCTTCCTCTGTCCTTCTGAGGAGATTATTTCTCTAAGTCATGTTCCCAGGTTGGAAATAGCAGGAGCACGATTCTAATGATTTTCCTGATTACTGGAACATCTTGTCAAATTGCTTTCCAAATGGCCTGGTCCCAGTCTGCCTGGGACAAGCTGGGCATGAGGACCACAGTTCCACTCTATTTTTACCAGCAGTAAACATCCATAATGTTTTCCTATGTCAAACATATAAAATGACTAGTGTTTTCAGTAACTTAACTGTGTGCCAAGTTCTGTCCCAAGCCCTCGGTATGTCTCAATTCTCGTTCTTTCAACAGTCCCACCTCTTCAGGGCTATATTGTCCCATTTTACAGGTGAGGACACTAAAGCACAGGGAGATGAAGTGGCCAAAGTCTCACAGCTATGAGCTCGTGGAGTATAGATTCAAGCCCAGGTAGTCAGGCTCAGAAGCTATGCTCTGAACATCTATGGAGATTGAACACATTTCATGTATAATGTTTCCTTCTTAAAATAATGTTTATTATTATAAAAATCAATACATGCTTCTTATAGAAAATTTAGAAGACCCAAGAAATCCAGAAGATTTCACCCAAAGTTCAGTGCCACCCAGAGATAACTGTTAACATTTGGATACACTTCTGCTACTTTAAAAACAATACATAATATTATAGATGCTTAAATAAATTTGGGGTATACTGAATATGCAATTTAGCATACTTCTAGTTTACTTTATATCACGAGCCCCTATTGTTAAATATCATGATTTATCCATGTCATTAAATCATCTTTAACAACCAGATGTTTGGGGGGGCATTGCATAGTTAATTCAGCCAGTGAATTCACCAATCCCCTGTTGGACATTTTAGTTGTTTCCAGTTCTTGACTTTTATAAATGTCCCTTCTGCTGAAGTTTTTGGCTGAGCACCCGACCAGTTTCCAAGTGACATCTGGGCAGGGAAGTCATGGGGTCAAAGGAAGAATGTTTCAGTGATCCCAGAGCCGTGGGCCAAAGGCTTCCAAGAAGTTCTGTGTCCGTTGGCAATCTGGCCACAGAGGATGGGACTGTGTCTCACCAACATCACCCATGGTAACTATTACCGTGTTTAAAGTCTTCCCAGGTATTTCTTTTAGTATATGACTCCTTTCGTGGTTGAAGAAATTCTCGTTTATGGTGAATAATTCACCATATTTATTCTCTATAAATCTTCATTCCAAAGATTCTAGACTTTTTTCTGTGAATATGAACTTCCTTTTTTGTTTTTATGAAACTGGTTGTGTGTGTATATACGTATATATCCACATAAAACAGTATATATCCACATAAAAACAGTATACGTATATATCCACATAAAAACAGTATACGATTTGTATGGTATATGCACACATATGATTTAAGATGTTTATTTTTTTAAGTAATCTCAAACCCACAACTCCGAGATCAAGAGTCACATGCTCCACCCACAGCCAACCAGGTGCCCCCACACATATGATTTTAGAAGTGACTTTTTTCACTTGGTATAATGTGGATATTTTCCCATGATAATGCAAACATGTTTATATATAAACATATATATGTATCCTTATTTATAACAACTGCATAATACTTCATGCTAGGGTTTCTTGAATTTATTTAACCAATCCCTATTAATGGACATTGAGATTGTTTATCTTTTCTTTTCCATCACTGGATATTTACCATTTGACACTTGTGCAAGATATCTCCATAAGATGAATTTCTAGAAATAAACTTGTGGGACCATAGGATGTCCATGTTTAAATTTTGATATTTATTGCTAAATAATCCTCCAAAAAAGGATGAACCAATTTATATGACTCCTGGAAGTATGTATGAATGCCTATTCTCTGTTGCCCAACTTCCTTCAAAAATTACTCAGTATTAGCCTTTTAAAAATATTTCTAGGGGCACCTCGGTGGCTCAGTCGGTTGTGTCTGCCTTCAGCTCAGGTCGTGATCTCAGGGTCCTGGGATCGAGTCCTGCATTGGACTCCTTGCTCAGCGAGGAGTCTGCTTCTCCTTCTCTCTCCATGCTCCCTCTCCCTCTGTGTTTTCTCTCACTCTGCTCTTTCTCAAATAAATAAATCTTTTAAAAATTTTTAAAAATATTTCTCATCTAATAAGTAAAAATGTCCTAGCAATAGTGAGATTAATGACCTTTTATGTGTTTGTTAAGGTTTTGCTTTCTTTGGACTGCTTATTTATGTATTTTGTCCAATTTTAATTGGGCTGCCTTTGTGTATTGATTTATAGGAGCAAGTATTACACATAGTAACCCTTGGTATATACGCCACTAATATTTTCTCCAGGTTTGTTATTGCTCTTTCAATTTTGTTTATGATGTATTTTGCTACATAGAATTTTAAAATTTTTAGGTATTCAAATCTATCTGTATTTTCTTTTGTAGTTCTTGGACCTACTATCATGCTAAGAAAGGCCTTCCTCACACCCAAGATTATCCTATATTGTATTCTAGTACTTTTATGACTTTTTAACAATTAAATTTTTATTCTATCTGCATTTTTTAAAATGTCTTATGGTATGAATTTTCAGTCTGTAGAGGCCACCTGCATTCTTTGGCTTGTGGCCCCTTCCTTCACGTTCAAAGCCAGCAGGGTAGCATCTTTAAATGCCTTCTTCTAATATATTCCACCATGCTTGTACCTTTCTTGGCACAATTGATCCACTTCCTTCTCAAAGACTCACCCTCACTCTTTTACTCACATACTAATGTAGAATGCTTGGATTTTTTAGTCTAAAAGAAGCTAATTTTGAATCTTGCCTTTGCCATTGTCTTGCTGTCTGATCCAGTTTCCTTATTTTTCAAAGGAGAATAATACGACTTTATTATGAAGGATGTTTTGGGTTTCAAGTCACAGAAAACTCAAAATAGCTCAAACAAGAGAGATGATTTACTTACTCAAGTAGCCAAAAAGACCAAAAGCAAGGCATTCAACCTGTTTATACTGGTACTTCAGGCTGCCTTCAATGGCAAGTTAAAGAAAACCCCAACTCACATCCTCACAAACACTAGAAAGAAATCTACAGGGGCGCCTGGGTGGCTCAGTCGTTAAGCGTCTGCCTTCGGCTCAGGTCATGATCCCAGGGTCCTGGGATTGAGCCCCGCATCGGGCTCCCTGCTCAGCGGGAAGCCTGCTTCTCCCTCTCCCCTTGCTTGTGTTCCCTCTCTTGCTGTGTCTCTCTCTGTGAAAGAAAAGAAAGAAAGAAAGGAAGGAAGGAAGGAAGAAAGAAAAGAAAGAAATCTACAGGTAGGGCAACCTCTAGCTGCCATGAGATTTATTTGGCTTTTATTGCACATGTATGTTCCCAAATATTTGTATTTCATGATCACAGGGGTATCCTTTCATTTGTCTCAGCCCCTTGCCTGTTTAATTCATAGCACAAATCGTAATTTCCCTTTATATGTCTCCTATATACTGCCTGCTCTGACTCCCTGAAGGCCGGGTCCATGTGTGTCCTTCACCACGATATCCCCAGCGCCTGGAGCACTGCCTAGAACATAGCAGGTTCTCAGAAAATAGTCCTCAATTGCCTGATTGACTTCAAGGCTGAAGTCATTCCCCTCCCTACCTGCATGGTACAAGAATGGTAGTTTCCCCACACCCTCGCTAAGACTATGTCATACAGCTTCACAGCTTCAAATTTTGACCAGATAGGTAAGTAAAGATGGTATTTTTTCCTCTGTTTCTTCTCTCCCTGGTGACCTCCTATTCATCCGTCAAAACCTTATTCAAAGATCCCCTCCTCTGAGAAACCTTCCTCACATCAACTCTTTCCCACCCTACCTAGTTTTCCTCCCTTCTTTGTGCTATAACATACGTTTCCCATTAAGTCTTAAGAGCAGAGCACGCTGTTTTGTTGAGCATCCCTGCTACTTAAAAGCGCCTGCAATGAGGGGTCTTCTCCTAGCGGCAGCCCTTAGGCAGTTGCCATGGAGACAGCCCCGTCGATTCCAGCCGGCGGTTGCCCTGGAGATGGACGCTGGAGATGCTTCTCCACTTCGCCTACGAAAGCCAGAAGAAGCTTCTGACATCGGTGTATCCCAGGCGAAACCGCCCGAGGCTCCGAGTTTCCTTCCTCCTTGACCTACGGAGGATGGTTGCCCTGAGGAGCCCGAATCCCGCGTGGATCTGGGAAGTGTAGTCCATCAGGGAGTCGGTGCAGGCGCAGACGCAGGCACAGCACTGGGGCTGCGCACGCAGCGCCGCCACCATCGTGGGGATTCCCTGTGGGGAGAGAGCTCCGCGTGGGAGGCCGACCCGAGGTGCAGGACAAAACTGCCAGGTACTCGGGGCCCCGAGAGTTAACGACACTCATCGTATCCTCCCCTCTTTGGCCAGAAGAGCAGCTGGAAGCGGTCTCGAGGGCTTAGGCCACTTACGGGGTTGGAGAGGCGCTAGAAGCCTGCTCCTGCCAATGGGGCCGCAGGGTCCTGGGCACGCGGTGGCGGTGGCGGGGCGGTGGGCGGGGCTCGCGCGAGGATTGGCTGGAGTAAACACAGGGGGCGTGGCTGTGCCCAGGAAAAGAGGCGGGACCCCGACCAAAGAAACCGATTGGGCAGAACATGCTGACGTTTGTTCTGAGAATCCTCATGCCCCGGCTCCTTCTTGAATCCAGTGGAGAAACAGGTTCAGAGAGCGCGGGGTTTCGACCAGGGTTGTTAACTGATCTTCTCGTGCCCTTGGTTTTTTTTTTTTTTTTTTTTTTTAAGATTTTATTTATTTATTTCAGAGAGAATGAGAGAGAGCACACGAGAGGGGGGAGGGTCAGAGGGAGGAGCAGACTCCCCGCCGAGCGGGGAGCCCGATGCGGGACTCGATTCCGGGACTCCAGGATCATGACCTGAGCCGAAGGCAGTCGCTTAACCGACTGAGCCACCCAGGCGCCCTCGTGCCCTTGGTTTAGGAATTCACTGGCTGAATTGAATGGTGTGGAACTAGCTCAGTTTCAGTTTCTAACTCACTTTCTAAGGAAGGTGATTAGTAATTGTTTAGTAATAAAATCTACCATTACTGTTTTACGAGTAATACATTTTTCAGTCACTTATTAATCGCCAGGTGGTGTTCTATGGTCGAGCTTAAGAATAGGATTCCAAGTTTATAAAGCCTAATCTTACAAAATAAATCATTAAAATTTATGATAATAAAATGGGTTGAGTGCTTATTATGAGCCAAGGGTAGTGCTGAAAAACAGGGGCTTAGGGGCGCCTGGGTGGCTCAGTTGGTTAAGCGACTGCCTTCCGCTCAGGTCATGATCCTGGAGTCCCTGGATCGAGTCCCGCATCGGGCTTCCTGCTCGGCAGGGAGTCTGCTTCTCCCTCTGACCCTCCCCTCTCTCATGTGCTCTCTCTCATTCTCTCTCTCTCAAATAAATAAATAAAATCTTTTAAAAAACAAACAAACAGGGGCTTAGTTTTAATACTAATAATTACTAAAAATCATTAATCACACCGAAACAGCTAATACGTATGCATCCTGGGAGCCAGGCACAGCTCTAAACATTTCACCAGCATTTACCCCTCACGACCTCCTGGTGGAGTCCCAACATTATTATTGCCGTGTTGTATATGAGGAAACAGAGACTCACAGGGGTGATGGCACCTGCCCAGGGTCACCAGCTGTTTGCTAAAGGACAGATGAGAATCTTCCCCTTTCATATAGCAGTTAGGAGTCCAGGTCTGGAGGTTCAAAATCCTGGTTCAAATTCTGGCTCTAGCACTTCCACACTGACCAACAGGGCAACAGGGTTAAGTTTCCTTAACCTCATTGTCCCTAGGTTTCCTCATTTATAAGGTGGGAGTGATACCAGTATCTGTCTCATAGTGCGGCTCTGGAGGCTAGTTTGATTTATGGAAAGCCCCTCAGTGAATGTTATATATCATCATTTTGATTTGTTGTTAATTTTGGTGTATGGTGTGAGGTAGGGCCCTTTTACATATGGCTATCCAGTTGTCCCAGCACTGTTTGTTGAAGAGATTGTTCTTTTCCCAGTGAATTGTGGCACCCTTGTCAAAAATCCACTGGCTTTAAATTCCTTCTTTGTTATACTTGACCGGCCCTAAAGAAGCAGTTAAGCGGCACCTGAGTGGCTCAGTCGGTTGAAGGTCTGAGTCTTGATTTCGACATGATCTCAGGGCCATGAGATCGAGCCCTAAATCGGGCTCAGTGCTGCATATGGAACCTGCTTGAGATTCTCT